GGGAGGGCCCTGCGCTGGCTGGGTGGTTCCTGGTCAAGGCGGCCTCTCCCACTGGCCGCTGGCTCCAGGGCTGAGCGGCACGTTGGCTTCCGTTCCACCCGATTCTCCAGAATCAAGGGCCGTGCCCAGCTCCTGGGAAGGACTCGAAAGGCACCCACGGAAGGAGGAAAGGCTGAAGAAGCTGAGGGCCACCCTCTGGGAGGGACCCAGGCGGCCTGCCCGGGCCAAAGGTGGAGCGAAGCAGATCCTAGAAACAGCCAGTTCCGCTTTCCTCACGCCGCTCCTGCCTCTGCTTTTCTTTATCGGTCCCGCTGCCCGCTTCCCTCTTGGTCCCGCTTTATCTATTTCTCTCTTTTTTCTGCCATGTTCATGCTGCCAGGCTAGCTGCCCACACTGGCCGGAGGGAGAAAGGCCTCGCCCGCCAAGGGCCTGCCCCTGGACACCCACTTCCGTTTGGGCTGGAGGTGGAGGGAGGACACCTTTGCCTCTCCTCAGCCACAGCGGACCCGTGTCCCTCTCACACCTGCCCGCGCTCCTCCCGGCCTGGGCGGCAGTGTGGCCAGGAGGGAGCCGGGATGGGGGCGAGGCTGGAGGCTGCTGCGAAGGGCTTTGCTGCTCCCAGCACCGCCCCCGGCCATCTGGTGCCCAGCCCGCCTGGCCAGGAAGGAGTGGGATGCAGGCAGAGGAGGAGGACCTTAGCCATTGCGCACTCCCTCCCTTCTCACACCGCCCACCCTGGGGAAGCAGCCCAGCCAGGCTTGCAATGGGGGATGGTGGGAGCACAGTGGACGAAACATGCTTGGCTTGGTCTCAGCAAAGTCTAGACTTTGGAATAGGCCAGGAAAGGCCATGTTCACTTCTCCATCATTTTCTTCAAGGGGCTTATAAGCAACTTTGACCAGAGAAAGGGTGATGGGCAGGGAGGAGCCCAGCCAGAAGGTGCTGCTGGGCTGCACAGAGGTGGGTGGGGGGAGTGGGGAGGGGAGGCAGGGCCTCCGGGAGGGCTGGCCGGGGCTATGCCTGCCGCAGGCCACTCCCCCGTTCTCCAGCCCATATCACTCCATCCATTGCTCACCCCAACTCTGCCTTCCTGCCCTCCACCCACCACCGGGCATGAAGGGCTCCACCTCCGGCCACGCAGCAGGCAGCCTCACGGGATGGTCTTGGCAGAGGTGGGACGTGTTCGGACCCACGGGGAGCCCACCAGCTTTCCCGGGTTTCGAGCCGTTTGTTATTACCCTGAGCCCGGGAGGGGGAGCCCAGAGGAGATGGCCTCCACCAGGAAGAGGGCCGAGGGCCCTGCTTGCTGAGCCGTCAGCCTGAGCCAAAGCGGACTGTGGTGGGAAATGGCCAGGGCCCGGGCGGACGGAGACCTGCCACTAGCTCTGGGCCCTGCTCTCTCGCTCCAGGTGCCCCGGGTAGGCCGGCTCCCAGACCTGCTGCTCCTCTGTGGGCAGGGTGCTCTGAGCGCCTCCCGACCTCCCTGCATCCCCGTGGGGTCCAGGCGCGTGGACTCCCAGCAGCGTGCGTGGAGGGCACCTTCCTGTGGGGGCGTCACAGCCTGGGGAGCTGGCCACCAGTGCCCGTGAGTGGAGCTCCCCTTGGCAGCCCCAGCGCTGACCAGGGCAGCGTGGTCCACGCGCAGGAAGGCAGTGCTCGCAGACCAGAGACGGCTCTGCCAACAGGGCGGCCGTGCCTTTGTGTCCCGGCTCCAGACCTGCCTGCTGTCCCTGGGGACCCAGTGAAAGTGAAGGACCTGACAGATGGCAGGAGACAGAAGAGCCGCGGCACTGAGTGTGCGGACCGGGCCGGTGGTGCCCGTCCCCCTCCGTCCCGCTCACTGGTCCTCACGGAGCCTTCGGCACAGCGGCTCCCACGCTCCCAGGCCGGCCAGTGACTCACCCGTGACACTGACCAGGGCCCATCCCCACGTCGCCTGTGCAGAGGTCCAAGAGCCGCTTCACGAGCTCGGCGAGGCCACGAGGCCACGAGGTCACTGTGTGGCCCGTCCCGCTCGGGGGAGCTGA